TAATAATTTAAAAAATTTCTCTGATTAAAAAAAAGATAGAAACCAAACTAAAAATAACAATAGCTACATTATCTACCAACTATTATTATTTAACATAATATACATGCGAATGTGAGTTTATTTTTGTAAGTACAGATTTCACTTTTTATGTTCAACAAAAAAGTTCTAATTTTATAATAAAGATATCAATTTAAAAAAATGTATTAAATTTGCATTATTAAAGAAATATAAACACCATACCGTGGAAACAATTATTACATATTTTTTTGGTTTATATAATTTAATTTTTATATGTCCTTTGAAGAAAAAAAAGTATAAATATAGAGGTCGTAATAAGGTAAGAAAATGGCCTTACAGATCTAGCCATAGTTCTAGGCGTTAATTATCATATACTTTACCAATTCTATTCTAACTTAAATAATTATAAAAATATAGAAATAATACAAAATTCATTTATATTAATATTCGGGTATTTTAAAAGTTTTTTTTATTGAGTATGCTGTGTCAAGTTTTAATGGCTTTAGCTTTGGTTCATAATAATAATTCGACAATCGCCCCCCCCCCACCCTTTTAGGATATGGTTAAAATCCGGTCATATCGGTGTGAACGACTGATAACCAATATAGACTATACTGTTTTTAGCGATGGGACATATTTGTATTATTAAAATATTGGTATTTTAAATTGAAACATAGCTATTATAGCCAAAAATCATGTAAATATATTATTATTTGACGATGTCATATTAATTTTACATAATATTTAGTGAGCGTTTAATCGACTGGTTATATTTACTGCCGAAAAAACAAGCGTTGTTTGCATGGTTGAAATATACAGGTTATTGCAAATCGTCTTGAAATGTTATTTTCGGAAATAAAATGACAGCGTAAAAGGGATATCAATTGTATTATATACTTTATTATTCCTATATATTATATTACCGGTACACATATACTTAATTTTAATTGACTGCTCATTATGCTGACATATTCGTTTTTATCATCGAATATTTGATGAATAAGAGGTATATGTGTAATAACCATGTATATTTCAATCATGGTTATTAGATTAAAACAACGCGCTATTTTAAGCGATCACCATAAGACATAAACAATAAGACATAAATAATCCCATATAGGAGTGCCCATATTGTATACACGGTTTGAACGCGGTCTCGGAACGCCATGTTCAATTTATGTATTTTAAATAACGATATCGATAATTTGGAATACATTTCTATAAAAGAATATTTCTGCTCATCAATAAATTGTTATAATTATAGGAGCGCGGCCGTATAGCTTATATAGTTGGATTTTGCTTTTTTGTTATACGTCGGTTTTTTAAGACATTATCGTTATCATTATTATTACATGATAATAATGGGTGATCGGTCGTTTGTTTAACTTTATTATATTAAAATATACAAGCGTTCCGGATCCACGTGGCGCGTTTGTATTTATAAACTTTAAAATTAATAACGTGTAAGTTCGTTTGGGGCCGATGGTCGACGGCAGATAACCCTGGGTGCAGACTCACTCGGCTCATGTGCGCATAGCGTATAATACTATACAATATATAATATGAAATAGGCGCCACAACATAATATTATTATTCCAACGGTCGGCCATCTGTTTTGGATTCGGTGCCGGCGTTGACAATCCGTTCCGTTCCATTACGGCAACGCGGACACCTTTTTATTTGTGTTTTTTTCTTCAAACGAATTCCAGACACCCAAAAACCAAAATCGATCGCCGTCAGTCACGCTGTACAACTTGCATGTACTTATACAACTTACTTGTTTTTAATGACCGTCGCAATCGGTTTACGCGGTGTAGTAAAAAACACTAAATAATATGCCGTTTTATCCACTGGGAGGCACACCTTACGGCAACACGAGACGTGTGGTCTGTTTTATTTCATCCAAACCGACAAATGATAACACCGAACATCTAGGATTCTTGATATTGTCGAAGTCAACGAAACTATAGCATTTTTTATTTGGTCAATTAAATTAATAGGTACAAAAATCAACTCTTGACGTGTAAATTGAACCAATACCTATCGTCGAATATTGGAAGCAACTCGAGTTGCTTGTACGAGTCGACCTATTTGTATAATTATTGTCGTTAAGAACAACCAACCGGCGTGTCTTAATACGATTTTTAACTACACTGATTTATTCAAAATAAGCTCAGTTGTGGTCATTGTAAAATGTAAAGTGTAAGCATACGGGGCATATGTAGATAAATGGTGATTAAAAATCCAAAATCTGTTGTGTTTCATTCAATTGTGTAAAACTCGTAGGTACATTGACAATTATTATTAATAAACATATTATATTAAAATTATCCCAGACAACAAAAATACAGGGGCGTAGCTAGGAATTTGTTTTTGGGTAGGCCCATTATAAACCATTAATAAACAAAGTTATTAATGTTTATTCTTATTAATAATAAATTTTTGTTCTTTATATATATATAGAAAATTTTGGGTAGACCCAGGCCTACCAGGCCTACCTACTGGCTACGCCCCTGCAAAAATATATTAATATTTTCTAAGCGCTGTTACAACATATTGTAAAAATATTTTAGGTACTACATATTGTAAAGAATCAATATTTTGTCAGGAAATCGAATATTTGCAATGTATGTTTTAATGTTTTAAACGTAGTTCTGAACATTTATTCTTTATTGTTGCGTTGAGAACATTTTTTTTTTAAATATATTTTTTGATTATATTTTTTTAGAAAAAAATTTAAATTTTGTTTAGATTATAATTAATATTATAACAAAATGTATAAAATATATATAGTATTTTGCTGTCTGGGATATTTTACAAAAAATTATCAACTTTACTTTTACCCCATTCTGTAAACATCTGCTATGGTTGTCTAAGTAGGAAAATAATTGAACTATTGGTGAAATAAAGTTAAGAACAAATGTCTAGTATAATTTACATAATATGTTGGTTAAAAGCCAGTCGTCGAGTCGAAACAGTAAATAATTTTGGAGATGGATATACATTTAATTGTTTAATAGCTATTATAAAAAATGATTGAAGTAAATCATATTTAATTATGAAATTGATATATGTTAAGAATTTCAGAACAAAATAATTTTCTCTATAATTTTTCTATTTTTAAAAATCATTAGTTTTTGTGGAGTTGAGGCAGCCACTGAATTTTAGATTTCTTTATGGTTACATCACTAATGTGAAAAAAGTATCGATGGAACTTTTTAGATTTGTGTAATTTTCGTACATTGAGTTGTAGGATTATTGCAGTATTTAAGAGGACGCCACTCCGTTTATTTCTAAGCAGTAATGTATAGGCAAATTTTTGGAAAATCTTATTTTATAGTTTGAACTATATTGTATACCAGGGTTCCGTTAACCGTTATTTATTCGTTCAGTTCAAAATTATGTTCATGAACGTTAACTAGGAATAACGTTATAACTTTTTTACCCCGAGAACGTTATATCGAATAACGTTTTAAATTTATTTGCTCCGAAAATGTTATAACAAAAACGTTATAACTTATTTTACCCCGAGAACGTTGTACGGAATAACGTTTTTAGTGTATTTGTTTCGAGAACGTTATAACGAAAAACGTTTTAAACTTATTTGCTCCGAGAAAGTTATAACGAATAACGTTTTAAATGTATTTGCTCCGAGAACGTTGTAACAAAAAACGTTTTAAACTTATTTGCTCCGAGAACGTTACACCGAATAACGTTATAATTTGTTTTACCCCGAGAATGTTAAAACGAATTTTGCTAAGTTAGGTTAGGTTAGCAGAAATAGTGTTAAAGAATAATGTAGTAGACATTTTGACTAGTAGATAACCAGTTTTAGATCACTATTTTTGCTAACCTAACCTAACTTGAATTTGTTTTAACATTCCCGGGGTAAAACAAATTATGACGTTATTCGTTATAACGTTCTCGGAGCAAATAAATTTAAAACGTTATTCGGTATAATGTTCACCAAACATATCCTAATATTATGTTATTGTGAGCTTTATTTTGGTGAACGAAATAATTGAATTTATAACGTTATATTTCGTTACGTTACGGAACCCTCTTGTATAATTATTCATATCGTAATGAGGATTCTTTATTGATGCTCTTTTTTGTCAAACTATCACTGTCTATAGGATATATGACAAATCACCAAATGTTCTTCTTTGTTTCTTTCTTTGAGGTTTTTATTTTTTTAACATCTATACTCACTGTATTATAATAAACAAATGAAAAAAAACAAACTTTATGAATGAGTAACTTGGATTGTGTTTAAGTTATTACAGGTAAAGTTTTTCTCTATGTACTGTAAACATTTTGTAATTCTTGTATAAGGAAAACTCAAAAAATACTTTGTCTCCCGCACAACGAGTTTTACGACCAAAATACGGATGGTGTGGAGTGCTCTTAACTATTAATTGAACTTGGTGCTGTATCACATCGCATTAGAAAACAAATGCTGTCCGTTCCAACCACCCATAAGCTCTGTTTTTTTGGGGAAATTTTTAAATTAAGAAGTAAATTGAACAAATTATATGTATCAATAGGCGTGGATGTTTAAATATGCGTCCAAAAGATGTCAACCTATATCGATTTAATTATGCATATCGGCTCTTCTATTTAGGTATAATTTTACGATATACGCTGTGGCAGCCGGCTTAATAATTAACCGATAGTAAATAATTATTATGGTATTTTTATTAGCGTCGATATTTCATAAAATGTAAAGATCTGATCGCCAAGAGTAGGAGGTGATGGAGTAGGAGGAGGCGGCAGTGACTAAGGCGTTGAGCCATGTGCTCGCGGTTTCATTGGTCGGGAGACGACGAATTCTTAGGACGGGCAACGTCGGCGTCCGTGGGTCGAAATCTGGGTCCCTCCATACGGACGTCACAACCCGATCGACACCGTCTGGGCTCACTGATCCTAAACGGTTCTTAGTCTCGGCCGCGGTCTAGTCGTGATAATAGTATTCTGGCACCATGACGTCGTCGTGTAGACTTGTCGACGATAACGCCATCGCCGAGTTGACGGACATGGACTGCAGCTATTACGCAGACTACGGGCTCCACCCAAATGCGGATTACCACCTGACTTACCACGACTTACACCAGGGGGTAAAAAACGACAACTACGCGATCGCCGCCGACCCTTACTATAGTGACGGATATGACGCGTACTGCGGTTCTTATTACGGCGGGCCGTACGACACGTCTTCTTACGGCAGTTGGACGCAGGATCAGTACGCGCAGCCGTCGCCGGTGGCCGATCCGGCGGAACAGCCACATAGCTACGGATGGACGACCACGCCGCTTATAGACTGCGTGGCCGAACCGAAAGCCCGGCTGCCGGTTCCGTTCTGCGACAGTTCGGTTGCCGACGATCCGTTGCTGCTCCCGTTCCAAGCCGATTCTACTGACCAGATCTTGTTCAGTAAGCGCTTTCAACATTTTCGACTAATTCTTCTTCATCATAAAAATATGATCGACCGACCAAATCCTTTCTCTACATTTAGCACATTTCTCTATCTGTATCACTTCTAATTTGTTAATCAAAACTGACTACATCAACTTACTATTCTTTATCAGTTTACTTTTTACTTATGATTTATAGGTAGAGGCCTATATGTAATTAGATTCATCTATTTTACCCATTTTACACATTTAATTCATTAACAAATTTAATTTATTGCTGGATTAATTCATTCTCCTCTTTTTTTCAACCTGCCAACCATCTATATCTGTTTTCTTTCTCTTATTTCTCTAATCATTGGTTCAACTTCTAAATGACCCCATAGTTCTATGTAACGCTTCACATTTATCTCATTATTCACTTTTCACTTATTTATACAATACGTCCAATCTAAATATCATATATACATAATCTTTAGTATTTAAATATTGCTATTTTACACACCAATATGAATGAATAGCGTTTTATCTACCTCAATTCCTATTTCTCTTATACTTTACCAAACTTAGATTATATTGCTGACTTGAATAATACAACTATAAAATGTAACGCTATAATGAACCACTCAACAGTCGCTAAATGATGTATTAAGGTTGGTTTACATGTCCAGTTAAACTGCGCAAACTAATTAATGGTCTTTTTGGGCAGTCAGTTTGCGCAATTGAACCGACTAAATTATTTAGGATTAATGCACGTTCTGATTTTTACTTTTTTATATCAGTTCTAATTCTAAACCCACAATATATCCGTTTACACTCTCCAAAAACTGTGCGATTGTACAGTTTTTCTTCGGGCGCCGCCTGAACACGTTTTTTTGTTTGCTGAGTTTAAATGAACATGTAAACCACCTTAAGGAACTAAAAAATGTCTATAATGGACGTTCATGTGATCTGGCATACGTGTTCTGTTAACAGTTAAATATATTCCCAAATCATATTATCCAATGTTTCTCTTTATCGCTTTTATTTAATTTTTAATACTCCTGTCCTCGCTCATCCACTAAGACTATATTCTCCGCAAACAGTAGTGGCTAATAACAACCGATGTCTTAGAACTCTTTCCTTCTTCAGATCTATCAGCAATCTGTAACCTTTGGCATTCTATCACACGATAAAATTACTTACAAAAATAGCTTCGATGCGAATCCGTAGGATATCAAGATAGTAGGAATATCAATAAGATCATTTTCAAGGCAAAAATTTGTTTAAAATTTCATTTTTTAGATACGATACGATTAGATACGGGTTGATACGATAAAGTTGATCATCTGTCTTGCCTAATAATTCCATTGTTACCGATATTGGCAAATCAACAACAAACATTTTTGTCTATTGTCATATGGCTTTTTATTTTATATTATTCGGACATTATTCGGATCTGTTGCCTGTTGTTTCACTTTCACACAGCAACCTAGAAATTTACTACGGCCGATGTGCAGTTTTCTCCTTTTTTTGGTTTTCTTAATAATAAAAAGTCTGACTACAGATTTTCGATAAAATCGTATATCTCATAGCCTCATTCTAGATCTACCTTTACTCCGATTTTCAGAGCCTAAGTCCTAAAATTATTGCTAAAAAAGCTAAATAAAAAAAAGTTTCCACCCCTTCTGGGATAAAGGGTTTTTATATATTTTTTTAACAATACTATATCAAAAGAATATTCCATACAAATTTGGAACTAATTCGAATGTTTTGAGAAAAATTATAGTGCACCGTAGTTTTAAGTTGAAGAATAAGTACATTTTTTGGGAGTTTTCACAATTTTGAAGGGGAAAGGTGAATTTTAAATTTGTTTAATGCATTAATGTACTTTTTAGGTACGATTTCTATATGAGGGAGTCCATTCAGCGGTTTGGAAGATACCGTGGGTCTAGACGCAAAAAATAAAAAGACATTGTAAAAATAACAATTTCTTAGCTCTGTATCGAAGCTAAAAATGGTATACGTCAAACTGGAATCCTAATAATTATTTTATTAGTTCTGGTCTGGTTTCTGCTATGTTTTAGGTTCTTAAAAACACATAAAATACATTTTTCTGGTCCGAATTTATAGTTAGCAAAACAATTCTATGCCTTCACCGGTTCCAGTTTCTTACATATTATGTAGAATAACATTTTAGGTTCCCAAAACTAGTATTATAGGTTCAGTTCGAAATACACAAGGTTCAATTCAAGCAATTATAAATTATAAATTATTATTTATAGAAATGCCTTTGGACGAAAAGACTACGATAAACAAGTGTAAAACAACATCTTTAAAGAAGAACATTTCCAGTAGAATGTCTTCAAACCAGAAACCAAGAGCAAAACGAAAACCACGCGTTCTCTTTTCTCAGGTACTTAGTTAAATATATATTTTTTTTTAGCACAGTAACAAAGTTAAAAGTAAAAGACAGTCTAAAGATTTAAAACTATAATAATTTGATCACGGTTGATAATAATTATTTTTTAATTTCAAATAATTCTTAAAGTGGTTGAAGAAGTTTTAACTTCATTTCCTTTGACATTTGTTCGTGTATGTATTGAATCTCGTCAAAAAATTAATTATTTTAATCTATAATAAAATGTTTTTTGAATATAAATAAAACTATTGATAAGTTTACTATACGACTCAGAAAATTTAATATTTCGTTTTTTTTTACACTACTGGAGATAAAATAATGTACTTTTAAAATATTACTTACATACAAATTACAAAATAACTTTGTAATAAATTAGATTTACATCACATTATATTTTGAACTTCAAAATGTATAACATTTTCCCCCCTAATAGGTTATAGGATATTAACGAAATCATAAATGAAATATGATAAATAAGAGTTTGGATAAGAAAAAATACTCGGCCCCCCTCTCACTTTCCATTTACAACACTTTTTTAAGATAATTTATCGCGACGAATTGACATAATCTTAACATCCAGTTCATTTAATTAGAAGTTAAAAATGCATATAAATTATAGGAATACTAGTAGTTAACTGGTTTTTTCATATACAGTAATTCTATTTTTTGGGGATCCTTTTACTTTTAAGTAGGAACTAACTTTAAAAAACACATCTTGAGATATAGCTTATTTTGTTCATTGTCAAGAACAAAACACATAATTAATATGGTGTTTAAGTTTTGTTGCATTGATATGTACTTGCTTATGAATTGACATGTAATCATTCGTGTTTTATGTATAGGATGTAATATCAGAACTCGAACACCGTTTCAAACAACAGCGTTACTTATCAGCTCCTGAAAGAGAAGTAATGGCATCCAGAATTAGACTGTCTCCAACTCAAGTCAAAATATGGTTTCAAAATCGTCGATACAAAAGCAAAAAGCTTGTAACAGAAGATGGCAGTACAGTATCGGAAACCAAAAGACCTCCTAGACGACAATTTCCGGTTATTAAAAGCTGTTACAACGAGTACACAAATTTGCGTACAAGCAATCAATATTTTATTCATAGTAATAAATATGTTAACACTAATATTTAAATAATAATAATAGTATTAAGCCAATCATCTTGTTTTTGTTGTATAAAATTTTAAAAGAGAATGTTATACAGTCAGCCATGTTAATATTTTTAAACAGAACTTTAAAGTTTATTGTAAAATCACAATTTGAGTTTGACTTCTTTAAGCTAAATTTATAGTATCCTGTTTGTATAAATTTAACTACTTTGCAACTAGAACTGAGTAAAAACTAAAATGTGTTAAAACTTTCATGGCTGGAAATATTAATTGTATTGTTTACAGTTATGTCCATGGTATCTAAAAATTATCATATTAATACAACTAAGTTATTATACATTTTATGTATGTATTGATTTTTATACTAGGACAATATAAATATTATAATATTGTTAAAAACACATTCGTATTAAATAATATCACTATACATTTTTTTTAATACACGATTTTGTAATTAGTTCAATTTAAATAATAATTAATTTTATATTAATAGTATAAAGTGTTAAAAATTAATATACAGCTGACTAATATTAATAGTTATCTTGGTTGTTAAATAATACTTATTATTTCACCTCTCAGTTCAAAACTGTAACAACTCAAACATATTTTAATAACTATCTATTTATAATGTATTGTTCACCATATTACAAAAATGTCGACTCAATAACGCAAACATTGTTTAATGAATTATTCACCGCAATATTCCGTTTATTTTGTTTTAAAAAAATTAGTTTTGTAATGGAACAGTTTTTTTAATTGCCATAATGTTTTTTTTTTGGAGATTTTGTTGTTTTGAATTGACGCGTCTATTTTAAGTTAGGTGGAGTAGTCGTAAATAAATAGAACAAAGTGAATAAATGTTTTATTAATTAAATAACAAAGAAATTAGGTAGTATATAATATTAGGATTTTTTTTAATAAAATATTTTTAATTTTAAATACAAATTAGTGTGTTAATTCATTATTACATTAAAAATGCATAATTTCCCCTTCGTTACTGTTTGTTCCACTTTATCTGCTTAAAGAGTAAATATAAGAAAATTAGTTCCTGTTTACTGGGACAACATTTTTAACGACAACCTATTTAAAATAATTAATAATGTATTATAAGTGTTTTATAAAATATTAACATTTAACTTACATGAAACATACAAAGTTAAAATTGAATAATTAATAAAATTGTAGTAATTATAATGTAACGTACATGTTATAAAATAATAATTCAGAAAAAGTATAAAGACTAACTAGGTGATTGTCTAATGTTAAAAGAGTTTAGATGTATTAGACATTAAAGCAAAGAAGACACATATAGGGGGGAAATAATGTAGAATATATTTTAGTTTAACCAAAGTACAAAAGCATAATAATAAGCTAACTGCCTAAATTACTCGACATATTACTTTACGCTTTGACAAATATACAACTAGCGCGAGCAAACGGTTAAATTTAAAATCAGTAGTTATAGATTTGTCCCACAAATGTAGACAAGTACATGTTTTAATGTCGGGCTGTGATCACAGTCCGACCAAGGCATATTCGCACCAGGCTAAGACCATTCCATATTGCAGATATTTTAATAAATAAATATATATATATATATATATATATATATACTCGCATACCATAAACTCAATTAAAAATAATCCTATATATTGTTATTATAATTGTTCAATTAAGTAATCATATTAAAGAAAATGTATAAGCCCCTCACAATAGAAAAATGATTTTTCATTAGTGGGTTCAGAGGTGACGTTACCGCCGGAGCTGTAACTCAAAATAATTATCAAAATCACTTAAAAAAAAATGCTATTAATTGTTATAATATTAACTATACAAATTAGTAATCACATTTAAAAAATTCAGCCATAATATATATTTGGTCGTACGAAATTAAAATATGAACACTAAACGTATTTTAAGTAGCCCAGACGTATACTTTCTGCCACTCTGACACCTACCGTATAAGTCAGTTGAAAATAAATAAGCAATGAAGTACTAATAATAAATATACAACTGTATACTTATAAAATAATATAATATGTATAATAATTATACGTTAAATCTATTCGAACTATATCATTGTCTGTATAATTATAAATGTAAACTAGGAATTGTTAATAAAATGTTTATAAGGTGTCCTTGTAGTACACACTAGCCAGTTGCCAATGTCGTAAATGGCAAAATATCTACCATCTATCTATACGAATAAATAAATAAATAAGGCGTCGCCTGACGAAAACAATTATGAATATTCGGACAGGTTTATTTCCAAGAAAAAATCTATACGTACGCTAAAGAAAATATGAATTCCTCTTTTCTTATTCATTGTAGCATTTTCTTTCGGGAGTACGTTTTACGATACAGTTTATACATATAGTAAAACCAGGACTTGAATTGTTTTCAACTATCGCATTAAAGTAAGGTTAATTCTTTAGATTGTAATATTATGCGTTTAAATGTAAAATATATTGCCTACTGGCCTAAGTAACAATAATTAATCAGTTAAAATTAGCATGGCATTATAGCATTTTTTAAAATTGTTAATTTAGGAAGGGACTGGAAACCCTTCATCATTATGGCTATGGTTACCCCCGTGTAACCATAGTATACCTCTAATAAGTTAATTAAAATATGAGGCTTTTTACTCAAAAATTATTTTTAAAAACGGATTACATTTAATATATATTTTTTTAAAATATTGATGAGTCTAAAGAGGTTATGTTGTAATGTATGACTAGACGATATTATTTAATTAATATATTTCACGAGTTTCTTATTCATCAACTTGTTACTTATTTCAGATTTTTTTTAATTTTTGTAATAATTTACCTACTATTGGCTGTAAGCTAACACATAATTGAATTTTCAGCATTTGGTGACTAGCCATCATGATTAACAAGCGTCCGTCATCCAATTACATAGCTAACGTGAAGTTGTCCAAAATTCTGGGGGTTTATCAAATGTTGGATCAAAATAGTCCAACGGTTTTCGGCTATAATGTATATCAATGGATCACAATAGTGGTTGGCTTGAGTTTGCCAATTGTTTGCGTTCTCATTATGACCGGAATTTACTACTGGATTGAAAATCCGGCACATATATCTTATCACATACTACTATTGGTCAATTTATTACTAAGTTTCTATAAGATCTACATTATGATCAATCAATCTGACGTCATATGGACGTTTTTTTTAGAAATCGGCACTACCGACTTTCTATCGAACGGCCGGTATGATAGAGATATATTCAAACGAACACGTTGGATATCAATATGGGCTACAAATATGTTTGTATTTTTGATTTACTTTTCGACAAGTCTGTGGTCGCTGATACCTTTATCTTTTAAAACGACCAAGTACTTGACCCTAAAAAATATCGATGGCACATACAGCAACTACCGGTACAATATATTTAACTTGTACTTTATGGTTTCTAGTGAGACTTACAACAAATATTACAAACAATTTTATTTCATCGAACTTTTTGTCATTGTTATTGTATCACACGCATTGGTCATGTTCGATACGTTTTTGATATCGACATGTTTGTCAATAAGTTGTCAGTTACAGCTCCTTGTGAGTGGATTAGATTCAACTAAGAGAAAATGGATCGAAAACAACGCAGGTAACATTTAATTGCTTGTACATTTTTATGTAACTATTAAATTGTAATTTTTTTCTAAAGTGACTGTGATGTTCTGACAAAAAAAAATGACAAGCAATAAAGAACCTTCCTCGCTGTATGTAATAAGCACATACTATATTATATTCTAGCTTGTCAAGCGAGGTCTAAATTAATAGTTAAATTTAAAGGAGAAACATTACTTGTACGCTTTACTCCTTAATACCTAAATGGATGGGTAACGACCCTTAAGAAAAATTCTAAGAGTATTAGTCTATTGTACATTTACAATGGTAAAGGAATTTACAACCTACTTTGTAACCAAATAATTTTGCATTGTTAATCACATTAATCTGATACGAAATATGAATTAAATATTAGTGTGAATTTGCATTTAGGTCTGTGTATAACTTTATATTTAAAATTGAGAAGTTAAATTTAATAGTTGTTTCACATCAAACTACTTCGTATTAAAAACGGGTTTCTACTTATAATATCCAGGATTAATTAATTTTGCCATAAGTTGATGCGCATTAACGCAACGACTGTACTTCAACACGATATTTTTTATAATCATGAAAATAATGTCACTTTATATAATTACATAATACTGTGCCTATAAATACACTATACTATAATACTAAGTAACTATATATTATGTTGTATTTACTTTTATTATTGTAGATAATACTTTACGGCCGAATAAAAATTCAACAATATTACACGATTTGAACAAATTTATTTCAGATTATGAAAAAGTTACAACGTAAGTTTTATTACCATCTAGGTAACCGAGCTACCAAGTAAAATGTATGACATTCAATAACATAATGCCTACCTAATTATATGAGATAAGTAAAACAATTGAGTGTAATATATTTTTAATATTGTGATAACTGAAATCGAAAAAATCATTATTATTCATTTCTCACAGCAATTTAAAAGTAGCGGTATTATTTTTTGCTTAATGGTCTTTTGAGGTTTGGTGGACAAAGTCATAAGTATATTGTTTGTTTAATGCTTCAAATATAATTTTTTTGTTATTCAAATGTGATTTCATACAAATAACCTGCGATATAAAAGTAAAAATATGTCAATAATATTTTATAAAATATATGATAATTTATAATTATTTTTAAATAAATATTATAACTATTCAATTATATACTAGTGAAATACTTAAAAAATACATTATTGCTGTATGTGATATGGGATCTGTTATACAAAATTCATAAGTTGTATACAATTTATGTTATTTATTCCAGAATATAGGTGATACATTTTTTTTATTGCTGATTAGAAATAATCATTATTTTTTTAAATATATTTTATAGCGTTATCTACAAATTTTACCAAACAATTCAATCCGTAGTGCT